GCGAATGAACTTAAAGCAGTCTTCGCGGTAAAGTGTCATGGATAGTTGCTGTTCAGTTATGAAACAGTAGCTGATAAGTAATTCCCCAAAGAAGAAAAAAGCAAGAAGAGTCCTCAAGAACACCATGAACAAAATCGCTCCCTGACAGTCACACCGCCCTGCGGTCTCTGTGCAACCCCTGGCTCACAAATCGCTTTTTCGCATCTCCCAGCAATAAAGAAGGACAATATTTTCGTTACATCCAATGTAACGAAAATAAAATGAAAACAACAACAACATCGACGAAAAGTTCGTAACAAGAAAAAGCTTTCAAAACTCTCATTACGATTTCAGGATTACGGTAGCGTGCATCTTTCAGTGCAGTCGAGCTTTTGCAGCCAAAAATTGCATCACTGGTGATTTTAACGCGTTTTACCTTACCTTGCGAGATGGGTTGCAGTTGACTGTATGTGCTCCTAATGAATAAAATGTAAAGGAGAGCAGAATTCATTCATGGGCACGAGCGCGGTCAGCAAAAAGGACATGCAATTCCGATTAATGCCCGCCGCCCCAACAAAGAACAACTGAGCGGCCCTGCGTCAGATGTGGAGAGGACATCTAGCAAGTGGGCGGTTCAAGTGAGCGGAGTTAGAACTAGGACTTTCGGCGGCCTTAGCACTCTCCTCGCTTGTTGTATAGATGCGAAAGTGGGACGGTCTCTTAGCTCGGGGGGCTGGACTACATGCACAAGGAAGGACGACCACGAATTACTCGAGCGCAGAAGCTGTCTTCATACTCTAAAATTGTCAACTGATGTTAAACGGAATTACAGACAGTAATCTTCATCGCAGCGTGGACGCAGTAGTGAAATACAAGATTTTAATAACTAGGAGCAATCAACAGAGAGTGCTAGCCCTCGCGAAGCTGGCTTTGAAGAAGCAACGAAGTGGCGCATCTAGAAGACCAGTTGAATGGTTGATAGTTTATTCCCGTCGAAGCAGATTTCCGCAGCCTCCTGTCACAGTGACCCCTCCTTATTCAGCCTTAACTTCCTTCAACCTTGACCTTAGAGTATATAACTTTTGGCGTAGGCTTCTTTATCATCCTTTAGCTTCTGTATTATGTTCTGTATCATTTTCTGCTTTTGTACTAGCTTCGTATCATAAAGCTTAAACGCAATCGAAGAGCATAGTGATGGTTCTGAATTTGAGGTGTTGACAAGTAGTTATATACTCTAAGTTCAAGGTTGAAGGAAGTTAAGGCTGAATAAGGAGGGGTCACTGTGACAGGAGGCTGCGGAAATCTGCTTCGACGCGAATAAACTAG